CGCGCCCGCTCGGTCCCTGAACGCATCACGGCAGAATCACAGCATCATTACAGCAGTATCACAGCATCAAAGCATCACGGCGGATCAAACACCAGCAGATCAGCGTTAGTGCAGGAAGCTGAGGCATTAGTCCCCATAAATGGGATCATTTCACACATAAATTAGATTATTTCACTCATACCATAAATTAGATTATTTCACCCATAAATAGGATCATTTCATCCATAAATGAGATAATTTCAGACATAAATGAGATCATTTCAGCCATAAATTAGATTATTTCACCCATAAACAGGATAATTTCATCCATAAACAGGATAATTTCATCCATAAATGGGATAATTTCATTCATAAATGGGATAATTTCACCCATAAGTGAGATAATTTCAACCATAAATTAGATTATTTCACCTATAAATAGGATTATTTCACACATAAATTAGATTATTCCATCCATAAATTAGATTATTTCACCCATAAATAGGATCATTTCATCCATAAATGGGATAATTTCACCCATAAGTAAAATAATTTAACCCTTAAATGAGATTATTTCACCAATTAATGGGATAATTTTACACATAAATTAGATTATTTCAGCAAAATAACTAAACACAGTGTTGGACCACAACAGGGATCAGGACAAAAGACGACTAATTATACTAAAATCTAGACTCCTTCTTCTTTTTCCTTCTCTAAAATGGGAGGTTGGGGAACAGGAGATGAGGGAAAGGGGCTCCAGCCATCATCAGTCCACCTATTTAAAAAAAGACATGTGGACTGGACTTTTCTAATTGATCTTTTTTTAGATTATGTCCGTGTTTGTTTTGTTGTTTCTCATCATCTAGTCACCTTCTCGCACTATTTCCCCATCCACCCCTCATCTGTTAGGGTATTTACAAAAGAAAACAAGGACAAATCTACAGTTAAATAAGCCTAAAAAGAGCTAATCTGTGCTGGTTTCTAACAGTTAGCACAAATGAAAACACAAATCCTCGTGACAGGTGTGAGGCAAACTTTAAGCCCACCTCAGACCTGATCAAGTCAAGTCAAGTCAAACTTTATTTATATAGCACATTTAAAATAACCAAGGTTGCCAAAGTGCTGTACATAAAAAGCATGTATATGTGATTTTAATGTAAAAATAAATAAATAAATGAGATAAATAAAAAAGGTAAAAAGGCGCTCTACCTCAACCTAAGGTTAAAATGTTAAAAGCCATGTCGAATAAATGGGTTTGATCAACATAATTCCCTTCAGATGTTTATTCCCGGACCTGGGCCGGCCTCCCGGGAACGGTGCGCGCGCCTTTACCGGCAAATCCCGTCGCCATTCCCGGTTCAGAGGAACCATTTCCCGGTTCAGAAACAAACCCCTCGTGAGGACCCACCTTCCCGCAGCGCCTTCACGTGCGCTTTGATCACGTCGTCCGCCGCCATCCTCCGGGACCACCGGCTGGGCGAGTACTGCCGCTGCAGCTCCTGCCGGGAACAGAGACTCCGGTCAGCCGCCGCCATG